CTGGCACCTCTTTAACATTTCCCTGAAGTGGAACATGGTTCTGTCACTGAACTTGTTGCAGAGATGGATTGTTTCAGCTTGGTCAGGGTGATACTTTTCAACAAAAGCTTGCAACTCATTCCACTTTGCGCACATGTCCTTAATCACTGAAGAAGGCACCTCCTCCACTCCCTCTTCCTCCTCTGAAGCAAGTTCCTCAGCTGTGGTCTGATGCTGCTCCAGATGAAGCTCTTCCAGCTCTTCTGTGGTTAGCTCTTCCCTGTGGTCCTTCACCAACTCTTCCACATCCTCTCCACTCACCTCCAGCCCCAGGGTGTTCCCCAATGCCACAATAGAGTCCACAACAGGCAGAGGGTCAGCAGGGTCAGGGTCAGTGTCAGGGTCAGCCTCAAACCCTTCAAAATCCCTCTTTTGGATACAATCTGGCCACAATTGTCTCCAAGCAGAGTTCACAGTCCTGGAAGTCACTCCCTCCCAAGCCTTACCTATAAAGCTTATGGAGCTGTAGATATTGAAGTGATTCCTCCAGAACTCTCTTAGAGTCATCTTAGTGTCTGTGGTCACTTCAAAGCACCTTTCAAACACTGCTTTTGTGTAGAGTTTTTTGAAGTTAGAAATGACCTGCTGGTTTATGGGCTGGAGGAGAGGAGTGGTGTTAGGAGGCAAGAACTTCACTGTGATGAAACTGTAGTCCCTAGACAGTAGGTCTACCAAGTGCAGGAGTATTGTCCATTAAGAGGAGGCACTTGAGTAGCAAATTATTGTGTAGGAGGTATTTTCTCACACTGGGGCCAAACACTTCATGGACCCACTCTTTGAAAATTTGCCTTGTGACCCATGCCTTATTATCTGCTTTCCACAAGACACATAACTTGTTCTTAATGACACTGTTTTTCTTAAACACTCTGGGATTTTCTGAACGATACATAAGTAAAGGCTTCACTTTAAAATCACCACTAGCATTAGCACAGAACAAAAGAGTTAGCCTGTCTTTCATAGGCTTGTGTCCTGGGAGTGCCTTTTCCTCCTTCCTTTCCTTCTTCTGTGATGTAGGTCCTCTTTGCATTTTCTTCCAAAACAGGCCTGTTTCGTCACAGCTGAACACTTGTTGGGGTTTGAATTTTTCAGTGTCTACATACCCCTTAAACTCCTGCACAAACTTCTCAGCTGCCCATTTGTCTGAACTGGCTACCTCACCATGCCTTACAACATTGTGTATGCCACTACACTTCTTAAATCTTTCAAACCAGCCTTTGCTGGCTTTAAATTCACTGGTTCCAGGAATTTTCTTTATCAGGTCGGCATGCAACTTCCTTGCCTTTTCACAAATAATCGTCTCCAAAACACTATCACCTGCCATCTCTTTATCTTTGATCCACACCAGCAACAACTTCTCAACCTGATCAACTGTCTGTGGTCTATTTTTAGTTAGCATACCAACACCTCTCACAACATCAGCTTCCTTGATTTGTTCTTTCTTTGCTAGGATAGAAGCGACAGTTGACTTGTTTTTGGCATACATCCTGGCAAGCTCAACAAGTCTCCCACCACTCTCGTATTTTTGTATTACTTCCTTCTTCACATCTATGGTGTTACTCACTTTCTTTACCACAGGGGTACCACCAGCAAGTTTCTTTGGGTACATGGTAGCTTATTTCACAGTCGCGCAAGCACTAAACACAATGAATTAATAGTGAAATGTTTGAATGAGCGCACAGGTTAGTGTTCACTCAAGCATCAACAAAACCAGACTGCTCATGACGCCTGCGCGGGGACGTGACAGAGCAGGCTGGCAGACAGGTCTGGTACCTGGCGGTTCGAAAGACGGGTCGAGTTCGATACTTGGAACAAAACTGGTTAAAAAAAAACAGTCGAAACTCGAAAAGTTCGATAATTGGTACGTTCGAAAGTCGAGGGTCCACTGTACTTAGATTTGGTCTGAGGAAGGCGACCAAAGGGTTTAATTCCTTAGACCAAAAGCTTCTTCACCGCATCAAGAACCCCTCTTGAAGAGGCAGTATTCACAACCCATGCTTCACACCCATGTAAGTGTTGGTACCACTATACTCTCATACATTCCCTTCTTTGCCTCCATGGATAACATTTTTTGTCTCCACAGACACCTCAAAGGACAACTCGCCTTTTTCCCTTCTTCAATTCTATGGTTAACCTTGTCCTTCATAAACCCATCTGCTGACAAATCTACTCCCAAATATCTGTAACACATTCACTTCTTCCACACTCCCTCCCTTTAATGTGATATCCTAACTCATTTGATACCCTCATCACCTTACTCTTATCTATGTTCACTTTCAACTTTCTTTACACACCCTACCAAACTTGTCCACTAACCTTTGCAACTTCACTTTAGAATCTCCCAAAAGCACAGTATCATCAGCAAAAAGTAACTGTGACAACACCCATTTTCTATTTGATTTGATTCCCCATAATTTAATCCCACCCCTCTCCCCAACACCCTAGCATTTTAATGTTCTTGGCAATTTACATTGTAGATATTTCTTGATGACCTAGAAATGTGTGGGAGGGGTTCATGTTGCTCTAATCAGCCTAACTGGATGCAGCGCAGTTCAGACCCTCAAACGTGTAAAATGTTCGACTTAAGGTTAACCAAGATTAAATTTTCAAAATGTACTCTTAATGTCCCCATAAAATTGTACCTAAAACCTAACTAAAACTTAGTCAACTTAAAGTAAGCTCTTGAGGAAGCATGTATTTGACAGTTACTGTATATTCTTTCAATAAAAAATGGGCACTCACACTTTCCAAAGAAAATGGACATAGCTAATACAATGCCTAGGGCCATTACTTCTTCAATGTTCCTGTTTTTGTTTTAAAAATACTCAGACCTTCACTTGTATTCCTCTTCTTAGCAACTCCAGTATTACTGTTGTTCTTTTTTATGGCATACAGTGTAACCTTTGGTCATGACCATAATTCGTTCCAAAGCTCTGGTCACGACCCAAACCTAATTTTCCCATTGGATTGTATGTAAATACGTTAATCCATTCCAGACCCATAAAAACTACAGTAGGGCCCCGCTTTATGGCATTTCACTTTACAGCATTCCACTAATATGGTTAGTTTAATATCTTTATTATGCACCCCATACCCATCCTGTGGGCGGTAGTCAAAAGATTACAAAGGTACATAATGGGTCCAGGGACTGGACCCCAAAGTTATGATAGCTGAACTAGTTACAAAGGTAATGAACTCCAGGTAGATCTGGTCACAATCATGCACTAATATGGACATTTCAAATTATGATCAAAACTCGTTATACGGCTCCCTGTCTTTCTAATATGGTCACTGTGCCCCACCTGGTTTGTTTACATTCTCTGTGAGCATGACTCTCCATTATGTTTGGAAACTTTCCAAAATTTCAAGTGTTTTAAAGTTATTTCATATTTTATATCTACAGTGGTACCTCAGGATACGAAATTAATTTGTTCCAGAAGGCTGTTTCAGTGCCAATACTGAACGAATATGTTCCCGTAAGGAATAATGTAAATTAGATTAATTTGTTTCAGACCCCCAAAAATACACTTATAAAAGCACTTACATAATTGTTCAAGCTGGGAGCAGTTCATATCCTGAGGTACCACTGTATACTCTGATAATTATACTTAGTGTAACTGTACCTAAATAAACTTACACACTGTTCTGGTGTGCAGGTACACATTAAAATCACTAAGATTGTCTTGTTAGTCTTGAAGACACCATATTAATAATGATGATAATAACACACAATAATAATCACTGAGGCGCATTAAATGTCGTATAAAACGTTAATACGTATAGACATTTTGCTTAATCCATCTATGGTATTTATTTCAAAATTATATAATAAACATGCTATGTAATATATAAACATGATAAATACATCCACAGTAGAATAAATTAATATAAATATGACCATTTTTATCAAAGCTGAACTAACAGAACTGAATATAAAGAGGTGAAATCACCCAATAAGTGGTGAACATTCAGAACAAAAGGTGAAACTAGATATAAAAAATGAATGACAGACAGGAGGAAATGCAGTAGGTGGAGGCATAAAAGGTGGTGATCTACTGTATTCCTATTTTTGGCAGGTGCAACCAAATTACATTAATCTACCCATTTGTCTTTTAAAATTGGCAATGTTCCAAATATAGTCTAAATATATATTGTATACAGAATGTAATAAGATGCACTACAATACGAATTATCTAAAAGTCTGAATCTGATGTGCTCTAAAATGATACTTACAGGAACATTTTATTAAGCATTTACTCTCTATTACATGACCTTTACCTTATACAGTATGCATATTCAATACTGTTGATGCTTATAATTTAATACTCAGTTTTTGTTGTTTTTAAAAAAGTGTCTCTTTTTAGTGTTACGTTGTTGTTCAGTGCAGCTATACCTTTTATTGCTAATATAATTTAGGGAGAATGCGGGTAACTCCATTAACAGGAGTGTAAAATATAATCAGCATGTATCTAAATAACAACGGTTTAATGTGTTATTTGACTATATAAATGTTTTTAGTATTATTTTTGAAACAGTCAAAATGCCAAATGTCTTTATGTTCAAAACTATTGGACCATTATACACATATTTATAATGGGAATTTAGTTTACAATTCATTAACATAAATAAATCAGTATAATATCGAAATATTCTCAGGATTTAATATTAGTTATATATTAACGTAGTAAGTACAGTATTGGAATTTTTGTTAAATTGTAAATCTTATATAATACTGTATTACATTTAACATGAATTTCAATTGAAACATATTTTTAGTAACCATTTAAAGAGAAACTCAAAAGGTCAGAATTTGATATATATATATATATATATATATATATATATATATACTATATTATATATATATATTATATAATATATATATATATATATATATATATATATATATATATATATATATATATATTATATATATATAATACATACATATAGTTATAGTGAAAAGGCATGCTTGAGATGTGGTATACTGGAGTACAAAAGTTCGTCAGTTATTGCATACTGAGAGTAAAATAATGCACAACTATTAGCAGATTATAAATTTAGACTGTTTATTTATAAGTACAGGCATCACACTGTTCTCACTATTTTATTAGCCACTACTATTGGAGTTTGCTGACGAGTGGAACTGATCCTCACATTGTTGTTTAACTTGCCTTCTCATTGAGTGATGATGAATGTGGAGAAGATCTCCAGAAACCTGATCAACAGAGAGCATCATCTTATGAACAGTGAAGCCTAACTGGTAAATATAAATGACTCTATCATCAACCACAGGCTGTGCAGAGGTAGGTACAATGTGTTGTCATAAGCCTATGCTCTGACTACTTGAAAGCATAAAAATAAATTAAATGAAACTTCCCTGAAACAGACTTAACACTAGTAGTTACGCAAAAAATTGGTGCCGAATATGAAGAAAAATGTTAGCAGGCACCATACCTTGCAGGTAAAATTTGCTAAAATTTCATAGTATCACACGTTGAAGTACATTAATTTTATTACTGATGCTATAAAAACAAAATGCACTAAAAATATATGAGTATAAAAAGACAGTTTTCTATAATAATGACCCAGGAACAATTTAATAGGTAGAATCACTGCACACCAAGTGTTTATGTGGACAAGGAGTTAAACATTCAGATGATACAAAGATGAAGTTGCGAGCACCTACAAATTATTCTAGCAGAAATGTTCACTAAAAGAAACATTACATAAAAATGTAAAATCAAAGCAAAAGTTTGTAGGTACATGTACAGTATTCAAAGTTGATGAGTGTGAGGATTTACATTTTCCAGTATTTAAACAGACTACTGTATAAAGACCATTAAAAATATGATGGATTGGTGCTTTTGTTATGTTTCTACATGATTTCTTTGTAATTATTATATTTACAAAATGCACCAAACCCCTAAGGGTCAATCAGCTCATTTTGAAATACTGACAAATGTATTAACCCTTAAACTGTCCAAATGTAGATCTACGTTCACATGCCTAGCACTCCAACCTTTATTTTCTCCATTTCAAAGCATGTAAAAAACGTACATCTACGTTCAGAATGCTACGCAAGTGAACGTAGATTTACGTTTAGACAGTTTAAAGGTTAATACTTGACAGATCAAAAAAAAAAAAAAAAAAAAAAAAGAGAAATCTCTTAAATCACTGCAGAGAACTGTGTCCTTCCTAATGTGCAATATATAAGAAAACACATGTATTTATCTCTCTTTCCCCCCCCCCCATGGCTACCTATATTACTCACCACAAAAATTTAAACCCCCCTTACTGTCAGGACCTCCAAAATTTAACCCTTCACTGTCAGAAGCTGCAAAATTAAAATTGCTGAGAGTGTCAGCATTTAAAAATATATAAATATATAAAATAAATAAATACAGTGGTACCTTGACTTACGAGTTTAATTTGTTCCGTGGCTAAGCTTGTAACTCAATTTGCTCGTATATCAAATCAATTTTCCTCATTGAAATTAACTGAAATGCCATTAATTAATCCATTCCAGCCCCTAAAAAACCACCCCACTTTTGTCGTCATAAACTCTATTGCTTAATCGCTTTACTTACTTGCTACGCTCTTCACTACTTCACCCACCACCTTCACTATTCCACCCACCATCATCACTTCTCCACCCACCACCCTCACTACTCCACCCACCACTATTGCTACTCCACCCACTACCATCACTACTCCACCCACCACCCTCACTACTCCACTCACCCAGCTCTTTGAGGAACTTTAGAGCACACTTGCCCCATGCTCCAAGGGCCTCCAACCCTATTGGGATGAAGTTATAGCAAGGGGGGAGGTCTTCATATTTGCGGATCTTCTGGGTCTCCCTGTGGCTGGCAGCTCCACCCCCTTCCACTATGGAGTATGGCAAGTAGGTGTCTGCCAATGTGGTGGCACAGGTGTAGTCCCAGCAATCTGTTTTCCATCCTTCCAGGGTAGCATAGTGGCTCCATCAGGATGCTTTTGACTTCCATCAGACCTCTGCACTTGGGGTTCCCATTGAGCTGGGCAACAGGCTGTGGCAAGGCTTCTCTTTATGATGTCATTGACCTCCTCATGTCTGGCATACTTCCCTTCTGCTGTGTGACACACAAGACCATGAAGTCCAAATTGATCAGCTGTCACCCTGCTGCAAATACACCTATGTTCGGTGAGGATGGGGGTGGCTAGGTGAAGAGCAACACCAATCCGAATGGCCTGTGGGTCGAGTCAAGTGCCCAGGGAGGAATTGGGAACAGCTAACAGGAAATCTCCTGAGTGTGGTGCCTTCACTGCCAGGAGATGAGCTTTGTCCTTTCCTGAGGCATTTTAGAGCATTGTGTTGGCTATTTTTTCCATGATCAGTTTGTCCTAGTGGGACTGTTTGTGCTCTTTGGGAGGAGCTCTTCACTACTTCACCCACCACCTTCACTATTCCACCCACCATCATCACTTCTCCACCCACCACCCTCACTACTCCACCCACCACTATTGCTACTCCACCCACTACCATTTCAATGAGGAGCTGGTCTACTGGAGGAATCTGTAAGGGCGTCCCACCGAATCGCTGCTTCAGTAAACCTGGGGTCTCGAGCTCCTACCACGTCTCTCAAGCGTTCGGGAACAATCTTCTTGACTAATGCACTGGAAGCCAAACACGAAGACAGAAAAGCAGGTAAAGCAACATGCGTTGCTTTGTGCACCCCTATACAGGTCTTCCATCACGAATCCGGCATCATTGGGACCTGTAGTGTGCCAGATTACTGAGTTTGCCGGATTACAGAGTAGTTAGGTTAGAATACACATAATAAAATTAACCAACTTGACTTACACAAAGTTCATTGAACATTGGCAAAAACCGAACATTTCCGCTACTTTGAGCTCAATTTCAAGGTATTTTTCGTCATGAAAGCAATCAAAATCATGTCTATTTCTGTAATATATCTTCCATTCTATCAAATGAGTCCAAAAAATGGGAATACAACCATAAAAACCATAAATAACAAAAACAGGCACAATACCGTGACTGGAACGATACACAAATAACCCGCACATAAAAGAGAGAAGCTTTACTTTGTAAATGGTCCAAGTCGGACCGAAACGTCTTCATAAGCTTCTCTCTTTTATGTGCGGGTTATTTGTGTATAAAAACCATACGTCAATATACTGCAAAGAGGCAGCTAATGGCTGAGAAGTGAACTCCCTTATTTATCATCTGTCTTTTTTATTTTCGTTGTACTTTAAGAAGCATCTTTCCATCATACATTGCCCAAGTTTCAATGAGATAGCCCAACAAACAACCAAGAAAAAAAAATCATATATGGCAAGCCCAAGCCAGGTACTGGAAATAAGTCACTTGTCTGACTTTTCTGGGTTATCCTAGGTTCTCTATACATATGCTGCTATGTAATAATCTATGTAATGTGTTTGTTAACTAAATAAACTTATTTACTTCTTCTGTCACGAGCACAAAAATGCCCATTCATTATTTCACCTCCCAACAAAGTGGTCAAAATTGGCAATTTGGCTGATTTCCAAAAAATTTCAACATATCCAATTTAAAAAATAGACCCAAATTTAAAAAATGCAGACTTTCCTGCACTAAAATAACTTTTTTCTCTGTTCATTAGTCATACAAGGGCCCCTCTTATATTACTTGCTTACCTTTTGGGAAATTTTTTATTCCAAAAAAAAATAGAAGATTTACTGTTATGCAGACTGCTGATTATTTAATAATTGTAAAAAAATAAACCCCCATTTTTTGACTCCAAATTTTGGGAATTTGGGACGGGCGGGGCAGAAGGTTTTGGGACGGTGACATTTTTTTGTTTATCTTGATTTTTCACAAAGTAAAAAATTTTTCGCTACTGGACGAAATTTTTTTGGTACTTTTATCATGAAAGCAATCAAACTATCTTTTTCTGTAATATATTTTCTTCTATCAAATGGAACGAAAAAAATGAAAATAAACCATAACAACCATAAAAAAAATATACCGCTAAGGGCCGCTAATGGCTGAGAAGTGAACTCCGCTTTTATGGTCTGATTTCTTTCATTTTTGGTTACATTAAAAGTATTTTTCCATATACATTCCCAAAATTTTCAATAAGATACCCAACAAAAACTGAAAAAAATAATTATATTATTTGTATTTTTATATTACCAACTGGCCAATTCCCACCAAGGCAAGTGGCCTAAAAAAAAAACATTCCCATCATTCACTCCATACTTCTTGCCAGAAGGGTGTTTTACACTAAATTTTTTTAAACTGCAACATTAACACCCCCCTTCAGATGCAGGCACTGTACCATCTCCAGGACTAAAGTCCGGCCTGCCAGTTTTCCCAAAACCCCCTTCATAAATGTTCTTTGCCACACCCCAACAGCACTCAAGTATTAAAAACCATTTGTCTCCATTCATCCTTCAAATGCCTCACCTTTCCCCGGAAAGTCCAAGCCCCTCGCACCCAAAACCCCCTTTATCCCCCCCCCAAACCCTTTTCTAGCTGACCCTCCCCCCGCCCCCTTTCCCACTACAGTTTGATCACTCTTGAGGTATTCTGTTTGCTCCATTTTCTCCCACATGTCCGAACCACCTCAACAACCCTTCCCAAGCCCTCTGAACACGTTTTTTGGGAATCCCGCACCTCCTCCTAAATTTCCAAAAACAATTCTCTGCATTATATTACACCACACATTGCCCCCAGACATACACTCCCTGCCTCCCGCCTTCTCCTCGCTGCAACATTTATCACCCCTGCTTCACACCCAAAAAGAGTTTGGAAAACTATACTCTCATACTTCCCCTCTTGCTTCCAGGACAAAGTTCTTTGTCCCACAACCCTAAGTGCACCGCTCACCCTTTTCCCCTCACAATTCTTGATTTACCTCATTTTCATAGACCCCCGCTACACGTCCACCCCAAATATCTGAATACATTCACCCCCAATACCTCCCCCCCTCCAAATTTATATCCAATTTTCTCAAACCCAATCTTTTTGTTATCCCCATAACCCTTTCCTTTTCCCGTATTCACTTTAATTTTTTTTTTTTTACATACCCTAAAAAATTTATCCACCAACCCCTGCACTTCTCTTCAAATCTCCCAAGAGCACAGTGTCATCAGCAAGACAACTGTGACAACCCCTTTATGTGTGATTCTTTATCTTTAACTCCCCGCCTTTGCAAGACCCTCCATTTACTT